CCCCCTCCCTTCCACTCTGTAAAAAATCATTGAAATACATTTTTTAAAATGTTGTATGACAATGAAGCTGAGTGGAAAAAGCACACCTTTGGGAGCACTGAAGTGTGGGTGAGAGTTAAATTATTTCATACTTTGCACAACTTAGAATCTCTCTCAGATGTGACCAGCTAGACCCAGGCACTAATTTACAATGACCTTGGCCCTTGGAATCCCAAATTGAACTCTTCCGAACAGCCCGGCTCTCTCCCTGCCTCATGAGCAGATGAGGGAAAATCCAGGGAATGGCACTGTCTGGGGCTTTGAACGGAGACTAAAGGGATGAAATGCCGTTTGATGCGCACGGACATTAGAGAGTCCGTTTTGAGTTAATAAAAGAACGAGTTTGCTTCATCTGCTGGTACAAAATATTCCCCTTTTCCAGAACATGTTCCCTCATTCCCACGCTTGCTCCTTCCCGGGGGGGGGGGGGCCTGGAGGGGGGCTTCCGTGAACAGAAGCCACCCCCGCTTCTATCGGCAATGCATGAGGGGGGACCTTTGACCTCCCCAGACACAGGCTGCACTGAGACCGCAGGAGGGTGTGAGCGCGCCAGCAGAGACGCATTCTTTGCGATCTCGTCGCTCCCGAGGAGAGCCAGGCGGGTGGCTCTATCGCACCCCCACCCTCCGGAGCCGAAGCCTTCGCCGGGCAAACCCCGCCGTCTCCTTCGGTTTCCTCCACTTTTTCACCTTTTCATTTGTTTCCATTAATTGATGAATCATGAGAAATAAAATAACATTTTTGCCTTTCTAGGGACGAGAGAGAGAGAAAGAGAGAGAGAGAGAGAGAGAGAGAGAGAGAGAGAGAGAGAGAGAGAGAGAGAGAGAAAAATTCAAACAAAAAGGAAAAAAAAGCTCTCTCATTGTTTTTACAAAGTAAAGAACCCCTTTGGGATAGGACGCTACAATGTTGCAAGTCCTTAGTTACTGATATTTGACTGGTTCTACCACCGGACGTGCATTCAGACTTGGAAGCTAACCCTTAGGTGACAGCGACAGCGATGTGGCGAGTGTCTGACTCACGTGTGGCTGAGGTCTGGATGCTGCGAGCAGACCCAGACACACATGTGCGCGCACACACACACACACACACACATACACGCATGCCTGTAGCTCTGGATGCTACGGAAAGACACACACACACACACACACACACACACACACGCCTGTAGCTCTGGATGCTGTGGGAAGACCCAGACACACACACACACACACACACACACACACACACACACACACACGCCTGTAACTCTAGATGCTGTGGGAAGACCCGGACACACACACACACACACACACACACACATGCCTGTAGCTCTGGATGCTGTGGGAAGACCCGGGGACACACACACACACGCCTGTAGCTCTGGCGACTGCACGGGCCTTCAGGGGGGACCCCCGCAGTGGCCTGAGGGAGCAGGACTAGAGCAGACGTGTGCTCCCACCTGCCCGGCACCCCTTCTCTGCTGCCCCTCGGGGTGACTTCCCACGTCTGGATGGGGTGCGGCCAACACCAGACCCCTGTCCGGAGGAACAGCCTGGACCCACGCCCGGGGGCAGGGCCTGCTCGGAGAGGGACGGGAACCACCCTAAAAGCGTTTCACTTTCAACCCTCACCGAAGGACATTTCCCGCCGATCTTTAGAGAGAGTGGAAGGGAGGGAGAGACACACAGAGAGACACACTGGTTGGATGCCTCCTGCACACACCTAAATGGGGCCAAGGACTGAGCCTGCAAACCAGCCATGTCCCCTTGACTGAAATCGAACCCAGGACCCTTCCTTCCATCCAGGGGCTGACGCTCTATCCACTGAGCCACATCGGCTAGGGCCACCCTGAGACTTTTGCTGCAAACACTGGGGGGGGGGGGGAGCTCCTGTTTCCTCGCTAGGAGTCAGCTGGCAGTGGCTTCTGGGAGCCGTCCTACGGGAACAACGCTCCTGACAAGAAAGCCAGAGCGGGACTCGGAGCCTGTAACCTCGGCGGGGGCTCAGCCAGTGCGGTCCTCAGAGGCCTCCGAGCCGGGCCGGCCACCTGCAGCGGCAGGAACCCCGAGCCAACGTGTCACACTGAGACGAGCGCCTGCCTGCAGGGGTCTAAGCGCTCCTCCTGGCGCACCTCCCGTCGCCGGCACCCCAGAGCAGGAGCGCACACGGCCCTCACGTTCAGCCGGCGTCTGTCACTGTGGGAACACCTCCCAGCGGAGCAGCGATGAGGCGTGCCAAGGCCGTGGCGACCTGAAACGTGCTGGTGGCCGGAGCCGCCCCTCGGGAGGAAAGGGGAGACCAGGGACCTCAGGGCGCCCACCAGACACCCCCCGAATGAGAGCACGTGCGAGTCTGGGCGACCAGGAGGGAGCTTAGCCACGGCCCCGGAGGACACACGAGGAGGCTCTCCCAAGAGCCCAGGGCCAGGGGTGGTGGTGGGGGCACCTCCACCAGGAGGCGCTCTGCTCGTGGCTCAAACCCCAGGACAGAGATGCCAGTTAGGTGTGCGGGTCCCTAGGGGGCACAGCTGAGACCGGGGAAGAAGGACGAGGCAGAGGAGGCGGGGAGGAGACCGAGTCCAGCCAGTTCACCTTCCTGCAGGACGTGGAAGCAGAGCCCAGAGGGACGGACGGAAGGACGGGTCCGGCTGCAGCGAGGCCGAGACTGGAACGGGGGGTGAAGCACACTGGCACCCACATGGCAGTTCGGGCGTGGGCACTGCCCTCCGGAGCCCAGCGGGAAGGCCAGAGGAGTGCTGGCCATCGTCCCCTCCTCCCCCCCCCAGCCTCCGGCCTGCTGGGGCTCCGGGAAGCGGGCCGTCCCCAGCGGGGGCAGCGCTGTGACTGCCGCACAGACAGGCCGGGCAGGGCCGGAGAGCGTGTGCCCCGCCCCCAGTGTCTCTCCGGGAGCGAGGTGACAGGTGCACGCAGCTCATTATTGAGCCTTCACCTCTGAAATTAGCTCAGGCTCTCTCAGGAGGTGTCAGCCGGCAGCAGCTTGCTTTCAAAGAGTGGGAAAATGTTTTCCTGTCGTTTTAACTAAAATTCCTGCCGGCGCCCCGCCCCTTCCCTTTGTCCTGGCAGAGCCCAGTGACCGCTGCAGCCCCTGAAGGGGGTGGGGCCAGAAATACCCCCAGTACCTCCCCCCACCCACCTCCCCACCGTACCCCCAAGGAGCTCTTCAGAGACGGCAGTGGGGCCGAGTGACAAAAGAGCCAGAGAGCCGGAAGGCACTGCTGTTGGGGGGCGGGCCTCCGGGCTGGGGGGAGAGGGTTCCCCCGGGGGAGGCAGAGGCAGCGCCCACCTCTTCCCAGGTCCCCAGGCTCTCCTCTGGCCGCCGCCAGTTGCATGGCTGCTCTGGCTCCGCTGGGCACGCAGGTTCAAGGTCACCCAGCCGTGACCAGAGCGCCAGGTGCCCAGGTGGGCAGCATCCCAAGCCGCCTCTGGACCTACCTCTCTGGCCTCCGCCCACTAACTGCCTGCGTTCACCCTTCCAGGCCTCTTCCCGCACCCCAGCCTGCCTCTTCCCTCTCCGCAGCTCCCCTCCCCTTCCTCTCAGCAAAGCTGGATCTTTACATTCAGGTGTGTGGCTGTGTGTGTGTGTGTGTGTGTGTGAGAGAGAGAGAGTATGTGTGTGTGTGTGTGTGTGTGTGTGAGAGAGAGAGAGAGAGAGAGTATGTGTGTGCGTGTGTGTGAGAGAGAGAGAGGGAGAGAGAATGTGTGTGCGTGAGAGAGAGAGAGAGAGAGAGAGTATGTGTGTGTGTGTGTATGAGAGAGAGAGAGTGTATGTGTGTGTGTGTAAAGTTCCAAGTCAACGCCTGACGCAAAAATTCATTGAGGGTCAAAATGACTGTTGAAAAGGCGCCCATAAATCACAAGATCTTGGATCTGCACTAAGGGCAAGGATGCGCAGGCGCCGTGGGTGAGCCTCGCTCTGAAGGTGCACAGGAAATAAAAAGTGAGGGTGCCAAGGATGCACTTTTACCCCAAGAGAACACGGTATCCAGGAAAAGCCTGATGCCGGAGCGCTGGTTCCTGCCTGGAGCCCTGAACTGCAGGAGGCATAGGGCACGGCCTCTGCTCTGCTCACCGCCGCGCCCCCCGCGCCCCCCGCGCCCTCCGCGTCCTCCCCAGGCCCGGCCCTGCCCTGCCCAAGGCTCCAGCCTGAGCAGAAGCACTGCCGAAGGAAGGAACGCGCGCTGACCTCGGTGGCCCGGAGCAGGCTCTTCCGGTGGCGGACAAGGGCGGCGGCGGGTGCAGGGCCAGCCTCCGTGCCCACGGGCCAGGGAAGGTGAGCGGGGAGACCCGGGCCTCGAGTCCCGGCCCAGCCGGCTCCGGGCGGCGACACGTGCACCTCCCGAGGCCGCCGCGCGCGCCCGGCCCCACCCCGCCCGCCGCGCAGGCACGCGCCCTGCAGCCGGCAGCCCGACCAGCCCACAGCCTGCTGCCCCTCGCGCCCGCGCCCGCTGGGGGGCGCTCCCCGCTCACCCCTCGCGCCTGCACTGCGGGCGCCGCAGGTCCCCGGCGATTGCACTCCCTCCTCCGGACACGCGCCTCCTACCTGCGGCCGGACGGGAGCGGGAGGAGGGCGGACGGGCTGAGGGAGCTGGACGAGACCTCGGTGGCAGGAGGCGGCGGGCGAGGGAGCGGGCTGCCGCGGAGGACGGCTCGGGGGCGCGCGCGCGCTCCCGGCCCCGCTCCCTCCACCGTCCCGGAGCCAGAGCCCAGCCCGCCGCCGCGCCGCCCGCCCGGCCCAGCCTAATAACAACGGCGCCCGGGGTCAGGTGGCCGCGCGCGGACCGCGCCGCCATTGGCCCGGCAGAGAGCGCGGCGCGCCCGGATTGGCCGGGGGGCGGGGCCTCAGCCGGCCGGGGGCGGGGCCCCGGGCGGCGGGCGGGGCGGCGGAGGGGGCGGGGCCAGGCCGCGATCCGCGCCTTTGTGCCGGGCGCGCGCTCTCCGCCGCTCGGGCTGCAGCGCGGCCGCATCGGTAATTCAGAGCGGCGGCGGCGGCGGCGGGTGCGGGCAGGAGGCGGCGGCGGGAGCATTGGGGACCGGGCGGCAGCGGCTATGCATCCCAGTGCGGCCGGGCAGCCGCGGCTCCCCTGAGGCCCCGGCGGGGCTCCGGGAGGGAGCAGCGCGCGGGGGGCACGGCCGCTCGGGAGCGCCAGGGACAGCGGGAGCGTCCGGAGCGGCTCCGGCGGAGCTGCGCGCGGGGCTGAGGAAGGGGCTCCGGAGCGGGGCTGGGGCGGGGCGGGGGGGCGGCTGGCGCGGGCGGCCCCCGGGGCGGGGGGCGGGGTGGGCGCCGCCGCCGCGATGCCGGGTGTCGCGGAGCTGCTGCTGCTGCTGCTCGGGGCGGTGTGGCTGGCGGGCCCGGCCCGGGGGCAGAACGAGACGGAGCCCATCGTGCTGGAGGGCAAGTGCCTGGTGGTGTGCGACTCCAACCCCACGTCCGACCCCACGGGCACGGCGCTGGGCATCTCGGTGCGCTCGGGCAGCGCCAAGGTGGCCTTCTCCGCCATCCGAAGCACCAACCACGAGCCCTCCGAGATGAGCAACCGCACCATGATCATCTACTTCGACCAGGTGAGCGCCGCGCGCGGGCTGGGCTGGCGGGGGTTGGGGGGAGGCGGCGGGCAGGTGCCCACCGTCCCCAAGGTCTCTGCGGAAGCGCTGGCAGAGCTGGCACTGAACCCTGCCCGCTCCCCTCCGCCCCCATGTCTTATAGGTACTAGTGAACATCGGGAACAACTTCGATTCGGAACGCAGCACGTTCATCGCCCCGCGCAAGGGGATCTACAGTTTTAACTTCCACGTGGTCAAAGTCTACAACAGACAGACCATCCAGGTCAGCCGCCGCCTCTGGGCCCGGCCCGGCTCGGGGAGGGGGCCGCTGGACGCGGGAGTGAGCAGCGGGTGGGAGCGGGAGTCGGAGCAGCAGCCGCTGCACGGCCGGGCCCGGCCGGGGAGTAGCGGGGCCTCTTGCTTCGGTGGCTGGGCCGCCCCTAGCTTCCCCTGTCTTCAGCTCTTGGAACCCAATCCCCGCCCCAAAGACAGAGGTCCCTTCGCGCTTCCCTCGGAGACGGCGGGGGTTTCCCGCAGAGGTTGCTGTAGCCTCACACCCGCTTCCATCAGATTCCCCTAACCCCACCCTTCAGCACCACCGACAGCGCCCCGGCCCCTGGTCCCGGCCCAGAGCCTGCAGGACGCCCGTGACCGAGCCCCGCGCCCAGCGCTCAGGTGGGCTCCGGCGGTCCTGTGCCGACCGGCTCCGGGTCTGCGGACCGGCTCCGGGTCTGCGGACCAGCGGCGCAGCCCGAGCCGGTGAGGGGTGGAGAGGGAAGGGAAGGGGCTTCGTGCCGCTCCCTCCCGGCTCCAGTCTGGTCCCCGCCCGCTCTCGCTGCTCCCCTGGCTCGCGAAGGTGTCCAGGTTTCCTTTGGGGTGAGGCGGCGGCGGAGCGCGCGGCTGGAAGAGGGGGGCACGCGGGGCCCGTTCGCTGCCGAGGCCGCCGCAAGGGCAAAACCGGGCGGCAGGTGCGGGGAGCGGCCGGAGCGGAGCGGGACAGGAACGGAGCCTGGGTTTTGGGGATGGACCGCGGACCTCAGCTCTGCGCGAGGTTTCTCTTTAGTTCGAAGCCTCGCCCGGCACCTCTGTGTCCGGCCAGGCAGCTAGGAGCTGGACGAGCCAGGGTTTTTGTGCGTTTGTTTTCCCAGAAGCACCAAGCGCGGGGTGGTCCACGTTTCCATTTGAGCCTTGGGGTGGGGTTGAGGGGGGAGGGGACTAAGGTATCAGGTATCGCTTGAGCCACCTATGGATTTCTCAAATTGGATTTTTTTAAAAAAGCGCCCTCAGGATGCGATGGGCGGATGAAGGTGACTCCGGTGAGGGGCAGACCCATCCTCTCATCTAGGTGGGCGCCTTTTGTCCCCTCTGGACCCTGGGCAGTAACCGGCAAAGCCCCTTTCTTACCCCTCTTCCCCTCTTTCTCCCTCCCCCCCCCCCCCCCCTCCAGGCCTTCAAGGCCATTAGCTCAGCGCGCAGGTCCTGACTCCACTGCCGCTTCGGTACCATCTTGGCTTCTCTCTCTCTCTCCCCCGCAGGTGAGCCTTATGTTGAACGGGTGGCCGGTGATTTCGGCTTTTGCCGGCGACCAGGACGTGACCCGCGAGGCCGCCAGCAACGGGGTCCTGATCCAGATGGAGAAAGGCGACCGGGCCTACCTCAAGCTGGAGCGGGGCAACCTGATGGGCGGCTGGAAGTACTCGACCTTCTCCGGGTTCCTCGTGTTCCCCCTCTGACCGCCTCCTCGCCTCCGGAAAAGGAGGCCGGGAGCGGCCGAGGCAGGAGGAGGGGGGGTGGCGAGCAGGCGGCTGACAATGGGAAGGACTGGAATCGGCCCCCCGCGCCCCGCTTAATGCAACTGTTTCCTGTGCGAGGCGCGCGGGCGGCCCGCGGAGGCGGCGGCGGACGGCTGTGTCCGGTTACTCATTTGGGGAAGTAGATCCCAGTTAGCTCCGCGCACCCCCCTTTCCAGAAATAAGCTGCCCCCCACACACACACCCTCACTTCCCGCTGCAGTCGCGGAGGAAGAGAGACCGCCTCGACACCGGTCCTCACCCCCTGCCCCCGCTCCTCCGAGTCCCAGAAAAGAAACTATTTCCCTTAGAACTGGAAACGTCCCCTCCTGGGTCCCCCCCGCTGACATCCGATCCGCCCCTCCCCCGTGTTAGGCGACAGGGGGGGAGTCTGTCTTTTTCATTTGGTGATGGAGGAGGCGGGTTTTCACTCGGAGAGCTGCTCTGCCGAAAACACTCTCGAGAGTCCATTAGCGGCAGATACTTGTCCGCGGCTGCTGCTTAGCGGAGGAAGGACTCTCCTGGGTGGTGACTGGTTTAAAAATATATAAATATAAATATATATATCATTTGTACACGGAGGACTGCCCAGTGGACGCTGGCTGTAGTGTTTCCGTAATTTCTATGTCCCCCCCATTCGGAGTGATCGTGAACCCCAAGGCTGCTTGATATTCTGACGCTTTGTCGAACCCCGAACCCCGTGTTCTGTGGCTCCACTCACCTCCACCCGGAGGTTCCCCGGGGCCCCTCCTCGTCCGCCCCCTGTATCATACGTGTGAATAGCCAAGAGTTACATCTGCTTCCATCTATCCAATAAAGTTGAAGTGGGACTTTTATTTTTTCTGACACCGCTTCCTAGACGCTGCGTCTCCCCAAGCGGCGAGGGGTGAGGGTCGGGGTGCAGAAGGGCGAGGCTCCGAGCGCCGGGGAGACGGCCCAGCCTGCGGCCCTGGAACCAGGAGGGCGACAGCTCACAGCCGCCCCGCACCAGGCCCGGGTTTTGCCCCACACTCGCCTGTGTCTCCTGCTTTGGCGCAAACCTTAAAGGTTTGGCCGAAATCTTACCAGGCCAGGCGGAGCTGCCAGCCGGGAAACTAAGTTGGGATTTTCCGAAGTCCACGCGCGCCAGAAAGGATGCGAACCGCCGGAGCTGGGACTGGCTGCCCGGGGGCGCGCTGCCCACGCCTCTGCCCGGGCGCCCCCACCTGCGCTCCGGGCGCCCCCGCCGCCTCCCGCGCCGCCGTGCTCAGGCCAGGGCCTGCCCTCCGCACCGCCTGGCACCGGGACTGGCGCGCGCCACGGGGCTTTGGACGGAGAGCTTCCTGTAGGAGTGCTGATCGTGAGAACGTAATGTGAAAGCAAAACTGAAATAAATAAACGACGTCGTTTTAAAGCTGGAAGTCTGGCCCCGTGGCTTTGGCCGTGGGCGGGCGGGCGGCTCCGGGCCTCGGGGTGGAGGGAGCCCTGGTCCGGATGCCCCCCCCCTTACCCCCGCTCTGGTCCTTTTACTGGTTGTTTTATTTTTGTTTTTCCTCCGGCCCGAGATCGGGGAAGGATTTAGTTAGCTCCTGGAGGCTGGGAAGAAGGGGGGATTATAGTTAATAAGCGACGCATCTCAGGATTGAGAGATTGGCCTGGCGCAAGCGGCCTTCCCTGCGTCTCCTCCGCCGGCAGTCAGGGCGCATCCCCCGCGGCCGTTCAGCCGCCCCAGCGCCCCAGCCCCGGAGGCAGGTGGGGAGGGGGTGGGGAGGGACCCGGGAAGTGAGCCGGGTCTGGAATGCTCTTCTCTCCCGCCTCGCCGTTCCCTCCCCGCAGGCCAGCCCCGAGGGAAGCTGAGGTGAGGTGGAGGAGGAACCCGAGGACTTAATGTTTAAAAGGCACCACTGGATTCTTTTCAAACGGAGACGCTCACAAGTGTTCTCCCCGAATTCCTGGGTTGCGGGGAGAGGTCAGCAGCGGAACCAGTTGACCCAGACCCAACCACCCGCTTTACCCCGCCTCCCCCCCCCCCTCCGCCCCCGCCAAGCCAGGTTCCCTCAGGCTGCGCCCCAGGTTCTCCCTGGGGGGGAGGGCAGCTGCCACCGCCCAGGAAGCTGCGCCCAGATGCGCTTGGAGCTCAGTGGGTGCCTGTGGGTGGTCACCCCTCTTCCTGAGGAGGGAACCTCCAGGCAGGTGACTTTGGCAAGCCCCCTCTTGGGGCCCAGTTTGCCCATGGGTCTAAAGACAGAGAGGGCCTAAACTTCCTCAGAGTCCCCTCCTGTTCCGGGCCCGCTGGCCTGTTTCCGGCCCGGGGTTTTCGAGTACTGGCTCAGCCCGCGCTGACCTGGCTCCCAAGGGCCGGCTCCCGGAGGCCGGGCCTGGGCCGGGCCTGGGCGGAGACCTGAGGCTGGGGACAGGCCTGAGAGGTGGGGAGGACTGGCAGCCAGGCCCTCACGCCCACTGCAAGCCCTGCCTGCGGCCAGGGAGCTGCGCTGGGTGAGGCACTGGGACAGAGGGAGCGCCACCCTTGATGTGTCCTGGGTCTGGCTGCTTCCCCGGCCCCTGACCTTGGCAGGGAGACCCTTCTCAGTGTGTCCCAGTCACTGCTGCCTGCGAGCCCTTCCCTCTGTCATTCAGCGGAGCCCGCCCCCCCCCCCCCCATCCTGGTGCCGCTGCCTCCGCTGTCTCTCTGCTTCTCCCTGAAGTACCATCTCTCTCCTCTGCTTTGCAAAACCAAGTCTTTCTGGGAATGTAAGCAGCTCCCTCACAGGCTGCCTCCTGGGGAAGCGATCCTGTCCATCCCACAGGCCTGCTCGCTGGAGTCCACCGCCCAGCCCTCCCACCACCCTCACCGCCCAGCCCTCCCACCACCCTCACCGCCCAGCCCTCCCACCACCCTCACCGCCCAGCACTCCCACCAGGCCCTCACCGCCCAGCACTCCCACCAGGCCCTCACCGCCCAGCCCTCCCACCAGGCCCTCACTGCCCAGCCCTCCCACCACCCTCACCGCCCAGCCCCTCCCACCAGGCCCTCATCGCCCAGCCCTCCCCCCAGGCCCTCACCGCCCAGCCCTCCCACCAGGCCCTCACCGCCCAGCCCTCCCACCACCCTCACCGCCCAGCCCTCCCACCACCCTCACCGCCCAGCCCTCCCACCACCCTCACCGCCCAGCCTCCCACCAGGCCCGAGCCTCCCATTAGCGGGAGGGGTGGTCCTTAGGCACTTGGGGTTAGCGGCTGGGCCCGCCCTCAGGTGGGACTGGCCAGTGTGCTGGGGGTTGAGAGGGAGCAAGAGAAAGGGCCATGGGCCTCCGGAGAGCGCCTGCCCCAACCAGAATGGAGCCTTTGGGGGTTCCAGGAGCACCCCCTCATCTGCCTCTCCCTGTCTGAACACTCCTCCCTGCGAGGTCACCTGGTTCCTTCCCTTCCTCTGCCTCCTCTGGGAAGCCTTCCTCGCCCAGATCAGAACAGCGGCCCCCTCCTGGCCCCCTGTTTGGAGGAGGGTCTCACTTACCACCCTGCCTCCTCAGCTCCGGGATGTGAGGGGTGGCCAGGCCTCCAGGAGTCTGTCTTCCCCTCCCCCACTCCCCTCCCCCGCCCACTCCCCTTCCCCGCCCACTCCCCATTCCCCGCCCACTCCCATTCCCCGCCCACTCCCCTTCCCCGCCCACTTCCCCTTCCCCGCCCACTCCAATTCCCCGCCCACTCTCATTCCCCGCCCACTCCTCATTCCCCGCCCACTCCCCTTCCCCGCCCACTTCATTCCCCGCCCACTCCCCTTCCCCGCCCACTTCATTCCCCGCCCACTCCCCATTCCCCGCCCACTCCAATTCCCCGCCCACTCCCCTTCCCCGCCCACTCCTTATTCCCCGCCCACTCCCCTTCCCCGCCCATTCCCCGCCCACTCCTCATTCCCCACCCACTCCTCATTCCCCGCCCACTCCCCATTCCCCGCCCACTCCCCTTCCCCGCCCACTCCCCATTCCCCGCCCACTCTCATTCCCCGCCCACTCCCCGCCCACTCCCCTTCCCCGCCCACTCCCCTTCCCGCCCACTCCTCATTCCCCGCCCACTCCCCATTCCCCGCCCACTCCCCTTCCCCGCCCACTCCCCATTCCCCGCCCACTCCCCTTCCCCGCCCATTCCCCGCCCACTCCTCATTCCCCGCCCACTCCCCTTCCCCGCCCACTCCCATTCCCCGCCCAATCCCCATTCCCCGCCCACTCCCCATTCCCCGCCCAATCCCCATTCCCCGCCCACTCCCCTTCCCCGCCCATTTCCCCGCCCACTCCCCTTCCCCGCCCACTCCCCTTCCCCGCCCGCTCCCCTTCCCCGCCCGCTCCCCTTCCCCGCCCACCTCCCAGCTTGGCCTTGGTCCAGGCCTTGTTGGCTTTCAACAAAAGAGCCAACACTTCACCTACTCCGGGGAGGCCGCTGGGAGGGAAAGCCGGGTGCACCTGCTCTGAGCCAATTCCTGTTGGGGGGTCCCTGGGGCAATGACAAAGGTCCCCGACGGCTGCCCACGGTTCCTCATGGAAGAAACAAGCTCGCTTTCTCGGGGCCTCAGTTTGCCCACCTTTCAAATGGGACAGTAAGGCCTTCACGGCAGGTGCTTGGGAAGACGGCGCTAAAGGGCATAAACAATGCTCAGCCCTGCCTGGCACACAGTAGGTACCGGGTGAGAGGCACACAGGAGGTGCTGGGCAAAGGGCACACAGTAGGTGCCGGGTGAGAGGCACACAGTAGGTACCGGGTGAGAGGCACACAGGAGGTGCTGGGCGAAGGGCACACAGTAGGTGCTGGGTGAAAGGCACTCAGTAGGTGCTGGGTGAAAGGCAGCAGCAAGCAGGAGCAAATCACACTGCCCGGGCACAGGGCACAGGGGCCCTGGTACAGGTGGGAGCACTGAGCCAGCGGGAGGGACGGAGCCAGCGGGGAGGGGGACGGAGAGGGGTCATCGTCCTCCCCCCACCCCTCCAGTTAGTCAGGAGAAAAGGCGGTTTCAGGCCGGGACTGCCTGCTCTCCAGCCCGCGGCTCCTGTGGAAGAATACCCCTCGCCTGCGGGTCCGCACGCTCCCCGCAGGGCATGGCAGGACGGGACAGCTCCCCCTGCTCAGCCAGCGCCTCCCCCGCGCCGGGCGCGGAGCAGGTGTCGGCGACGGCGTCATGGTGAAGCCACACTGTGCCTGGCACGGCCG